ATGCCACGTGGTGGTGACTCTTTCGACCATGTCCCAACGGATGGCAAATTTCTCAAAAAGCATGGTTTGGATCACCTTGGGAGTAACTGTCAGGAAGGAAAGTTGGTATTTCCATTCAGGAGGCAGTGCAGATACAAGCAAGTAGAGCAAGTTAGAAACGGACTGTGAGCTGGGCCACAGATACCTGGTTATCTATTACCTAATAGGAGGACCAAAGGAGATTTAGGGGTCCTTCTTTTTAGACACTCCACAAAAAGTAGTAGCAAAATGTATCTTTAGATCATAAGGATCCAATCAGGCAATCCTAATAAATTTAGAGGCCAGGACACCGACTAGAGCATCCTCTAAAGCAGTTCACAGAGAAAGTGGGGTACACATTATGTAAGTGAGTATAAAAGAAGTAGACAGTAGGACGTTTGATGGATGTTCTTGCTATCGTAGTGTCTTCTGATGGCTGCACATCAAAGATACCAGTATGAGAGGGATAGGATTGCCTCTAAAATAAATTAATGTTTTGAGGGCAGGTTCACACCATTTTCCAGACCAGACCTGGTCCGGAAAATGGTGTGAACCTGCCCGCAGTTCCAGTGCATTCCAGACCAGATAAAATAAGACCTGCAGTATTTTTCTGGTCTGGACTGCGCTTGTGTGAACAGAGGCCATAAATAGCACAGGGATACATTAGGGTGCATTTTGGGTCCAGAAACAATCTGGTCTGGAGATGATCTGGATGTGGTGTGAATGGGCCCCCAGTTTCTCATAGGCTGATTCATGGTAGATCATACAACTTTGCACACATTTTTTTAAGAGGATACATGGGATGAGTCTTAGACCTGAGGATTGTGATAAACAGTAAAATATTGGTCTTATTCTGGAAGTCTCAAAGATTTGGGTTGCAGTGCACCATTTAATCAAAGTTTTCAATACGTCTTCTGCCTACTACAACAATAAGAAACAGCAGACGGGAACTAGTGCAGAAATCATTACTGTATTAACACATAAAAGGATTTTTTTTTCTTTATTGCTTTACTAAAACAGCTGCTGCTCACAAGATCCTGTATCCTGGCATGAGTGTTAAATGGCCAGGTCTGTCTAATTTGGCCTAGATTTAATGACCCAATAGGAAACAGATTGACCAGCATGTTGCCAGCATAAGCATGAATGGTCTCGCTGGTTTTGTATGATACACAAATTATGCACGGAAGATGATACACAATTAATTAAAGGATTACTACATTGCAGGGGGCTAAACATTTACACGTTAGGGCTACAGAATGCATCAAGACTATTTCATGTAAAGTATTGATATGTTCAGCTCAAACTGTCAATAAAGAATTGATCATTACTAAATTGCAGTAACTCATAGCAACCAATCACAAGTCATCTCTATTCAATATCAAACTAAATTGTGATTGGTTTCTGTGGGTTGGTGCAGGATTAAGATGCATCACACAGTAATTTTACAGCCAATCAGAAAAAAAAAATCATTTTTATCTGACTTCTGTGTATTTCTTGGCTGCACTTTGTACATCATCACTGCTGATAATTGAATATGCTCAAGCTTTTTCAGTTTGTTTATTCAGTTCATACTTTCCTTACTCCATAATGTGAGAGTAAGCTGCATTTTATTATTTATAGTCCAGTCTAAATATATATTGTAACGTATTATAACTACCTACAGATGTGTTTTGTTGTCTTGCTGAATATGTAGGTTCTGCCTTCGCCTGAGCAACAGCCAGGTCCAATTTCTGCTGTACAATGCTAGTAATTTGGCTCCTTCTATCTCTACCTCTCATGCATGGAATGGTCTGCAAAAGAGGCAGGATGTAGGAACAATGACATGGTTCAAGGAGATGCACACTAACCATGGAGACACATAGTTCCATAACCAAATAGAGTAAGCAAGAGGGTCAAGTTCACATTCTTAGCAAATGCAAACAGTGATGTCTAGCAAAACAGGTTTTGCATTGTTTTTGGGACTAGTTCTCTCTAAAAACATCTGTTCTTATTCACTCCCATGGTTTGTATTGTAGGTAATTCCATCCCACATTTAGGAATGGTGTCATATAGCCACCAGAAATTCTAATTCACAAGTGTTAGGGAAAGTACTCAAGATTTGGCTCTAGTAAAGCTGCAGCAAATTGTACAGCTGTCAAAGTCTACTCATGCCAAGAGCTGGCAGTGACGAGGGCTTCCCCAACACTGATGATTTGATCTGTGTATGAAACAACTGTCACCAAGACCAGTGCAGCAGAGCGTAAACCCCAAAAAATAGGAGATGGTTATAAGATCCAAAATGGCAATGTAGCTCTTGGATGTAGAATAGAGGGGAATATTTGGAAGCATTTTCATTAGCATATCCTGAGTCATATGAGAATTTCACGCAGTCGTTGGTCCAGTTAAGAATCTATTAAAATCATGAAATGCATTTTAAAATACTACTAGTGGAACTGCTTGAAATCGGTCTTGATATTGTGCTCCCATAATCCACATAGTAGAAATGAGACTGACTATAGGAGGCTCTGCACTGTAAACAATGGCGGAGACATTGCTAGAATAAAGTAAATGAATGTAAATGACAGTTGGGGGGTGGTCCCAACATCCATCTGACCTACAGCCATTAATAGTGGCACCCTTATCCCAGAAGGCCCTTGCGTATAGTCTGCACAAATGCTATGTTCAAAAAGGGGTCTTTTACACAGCAAAGTGATGTCAGTCTAACATGTTTTGCAGACACTGAAAGCTGGTAGGGAAACAGGTAGTTTACAGGAAGGGGCGGCAGAAGAAGCATTAAAACTGGAAACTGAAATATTGGTGTCACCTTTGTGGCTATGCAGTATAGCAAAGTAGTGTGATTTACAAGCTGTTGGGCCGGAATGCGTGTCAATGAGTTCAAAGAGTGGCAAAGCACAGCTGCACAAAGCAGCCAATCAGATTTCACATAAACAGCTATGGAAATTATTTGCCATTAGTTACTACACTTTAAGCTGTGGCAACTGGTGTGCATTAGATTCTTCTAGACCAGGGTTAGCCATACTTTGGACATCCAGATGTGATTAAATTAAAAATCTCATCATGCATCTGCCTCTGGAAGTCATGCCTTTGGCTGTCAGAGTCTTGCAATGCCTAATGGAATTTATGGTTTCGCCACAGCTGAGGTGCCAAAGTTGAGCTACCCCTGTGACCTTCACAATATGGTCGTTCTTGTTACAGGGACATAAAAATAAACTAATAATAATTCACAAACCTGAACATAGCATTTTCAATACAGAAACATATAAACATTCTTACATTTTCTTTGGACAGGTTACAACTATTTGTGTCTTCCAGTGTTGTGTTATAGCTATCAATGTGTCCATCATATCAGCAGTCCACTGTACACCAAGCAATCAAATTCAGACGTATTCTCTAATCCTCATTTTCCAGTGCAGGTTTACATTTAATTGTGATGCAAAAGAGACAGCTTCCTATGGAAATCATGTCAATAGCTCAGGCCTATAGATGTCATCCAACAGTTGGAGGAAGCCCCTTACATTTTATTTTGCTTCTATCTTTACCCGTGTTAAATCAATTACAGCCAGAACATCCTGCTATTTACATAGAAGTGACTTAGTGATGGACAGTGTTAACTAGGTAAAAAAATTATTTCTATTAGATGTGTGGTAATATCTCTGGGCTATCTGTATGCCTAAAAGTGGTCAGATTGATGCTGACTGCATTCTAACACCTACGGCTGTCTTATGTTTCAGAGAAACTAAGCAGACTCATTCCAATTCTGCATCTTCAGAGCTTATGGGGGTGATTTACTAACCTAAACACACGCACACACCAGGTGCGTGTGATTTTCACAGAGCAAAACGTATTTATCAACCAAAAAGTCTCTAAAAGCATATTTCCACTAATGCCATATATGGAAAAATCATGCACATGATGCATATATAATGCTGCTTCACAGTTTAGACAAAAATGGTTAGCTCATGCATTTACATTCCTGCATTCATCAACGCAAGCAACATAACATAGAGCTAATTTACACAACATCACCTTGCAAATTCATGCAGGGCTTTGCACAACACACCTGCTGGGTGTGTACACACTACAAAGGTGTTTAGATTCCACCCATAGATCATGCTGCGAGGGAACACACTACAGAGGTGTATACATGTTCGTGGTGTGTTTATAAGGTTAGTAAATCAACCCCTATGTGTCTGCTCCAAAAAAGTACAGTGTAAACTTTGATTTCAGAAAAGGCCACACAGTCAGGACTACCTGCAATGAACTTCTCTTATTCCGTCATTAGTCTAGTTAGTCACTACCACTATTGGTTGGCCTGTTAAATATGCTACTGAAAGTATTTTGATACTTGTTCAATAAGTGGTAAAAAATACCTGTTGATCCCAAAAGAAATACCATAAATATGCATCTTCCTGTGCAAATCTTAAGCAGTGTTATCTTTGCCTAGGTTACCCCTGAACTACAGAACACCCCTTCTCTATGTTACGGAGACTAGTATGTAGTCCAAAGCAGGAGTGGATAGCCTTGGGTGACATGCTGCTCCTCTTCACATACAGTAAGGTGAGTGGGCATAGTCACCCTAGGACAGGAAGTGTGTTACTGGCAGCGTGACCAAAGGGGAAAAAAAAGCCTTATAAAAAAGTGAATGCAACTGCCACATGTAAGGACTGGCGAGCTGCAATGTATTACGTTTGTAGATACAATTTCATTCTCGTTGTTATCTTCTATTTTAGGCTAAAGGAGGCGTATTAGTTACAGAGCCACAACTTGATAGGATGTCAGCTGTTTAGGGCCATTTTCCCACATGTATCACATTTAACATCTCACAACTTCCACTTGATAAGCTTTCAAAATGTTGATTTTTTTTTGTAAACGCCATTGAAGACTCATTTTTCACAAACCAATTTGGAATTTATATTTACTGGCCATTCAAACAAACAAGCAAACACATTTTTTAAAGTTCTCAAAAAAATCACACTTGTAAATCTCAAGCAAATATAGTTAGACTTTTTATTTTAGCTTAAAAGGAAAGTGAGGCAGAAAAACAGTCACAATAACTTATATAAATAAAACAGAGAATGATATAAAAAAAAAAAAAGAAAGAAGGAAAAAGGAGGGAGAAACCCGACAAATAATATTTTTCCTGGTTAGCACCATCTTGAGAGCAACAGCATTGAAATAAAAACAACACAATGCATAAAAAAAGGAAAGTAAAAACTAAACATTTACACAAATAAAAATATATATTTATATAAAACGGCACAAGTATAAATCAAAATTTAAAAAAAAGGAACAAAAAAATAAAATAAAAATCTAGGGGTCACGGAAGCAAGTGTCACATCTGGCCAAACTTGTCAATACCCCCTAATAATGATCACAAGAACTCCAGATAGGCAGCTGAAAAAAGGAACTTCTTCTTTCCCAGACGTGCTCCCTGATAAAATAATTAAGAGGTGGTCTTCAGCTTCTGGATCAGTGCATTAACACACAGCTGGGGTACTGATTAGCGAGACGGAGATGTGAGGTATTCTAGTAACCCGTGAAATCCCCCTTCACCAGTCTTCCTGCTGTAAAGGACATCAATTAAGCTGGTGGTATAGATGCATAGTAAAAGGGGTAGCCCATAGATGACAACAAAAATAAAATAATACAAGAACGATGGCAACCTATGAAATAGGGGAGTAAACCACAGGACCCACCGCAGACTGGGAGAGAACGAGGCAGAGGCAACAGTTCCGCGGGACATCAGGACTTTCACCTGTAAGGTCTGAGGCAACAAGACTCTAGAGTGTTGCTAATACTTGGGGTTATTGAGGCTCATGTGGGATGGACAAGGTCTTTCTAGAGGAGCAACATGGTCATGAAAAGGACAAAGACTCCACATAGAATAGCACCCACAGGCAGCCGGCATGGTCAGTCTACATCTGCAGTGTTAATCTAGGTATCCGGCAGCTTGTACTATTAAGGTGGTATAGGAATGCTCTATTAGCCTTGGCTCCCGCAAGACGACAGGCTGTCGTAGAGTGAATCACTCAGGGATTCAGAGTTCTCCAGCCCCGTCTGACCCTGCTCGTTGTCTCGAGATTTGGCTTCACTTGTACCCTCGTCTCCAACTTCTGACGTGCTGGGGGTGCGGCTGCTCACAGCGCCTGGGAAACAGATAGATGGGTGTGCATACCCAGACATGTCACAGTCTCTGTCTCCTTCTGATGGGATCTGAAATGAAAAAAAAAAAATGGTTAATGCCACCATGACTAAAGTGAGAAAGTAACATGAATAGTTTACGCTGCAACTCCATTGCCTACGTTACAGATTCATGAGTTCTATTTCTTACAAAATTGATTTATACCAAAATATTTAAAAGTCACCTTTCACTTTTAAATAGAAATATATAGGGCCTACATCATTAACTAGTCTCGCTGGTCAGAACGGATCAGCTACATTTGTAAGGAATTGGAAGGCACTGGTCATCCTGTTGCGATTATAAAATGCATTCTTCAAATGCATTTGGGTTCCCATAATCTAGCAGACTCCTGACACCTCTCTACCTGACAGCAGCTAGGTCGGACTATGCATTATGTTTGTTCAAATATGACTGAAAAGGGTGTTTTTTGTCACATCATAAAGAACAGAGGACTTCAGAAACTGTATATAGCCATATAGTATATGGTAGTGTTGTGATGACATATTATATACTGGCCACTCAGTGGTTGAATATGGGCAGGTTAGATTTGATAAGAGCAGTCGGAGCTTGATGGATGACAACATTTAGACAACATTGTATAGAAACCTAACGATACTGTCAATATACACACCTATAGTGGCC